TTTTTTTTTAGGTGGGAATAGGTATAGTAGAACTTACTAGAGTCGAGAAGCCTTCCTGTATGATCTGTTGCAACTGAAACACACAGAACATACATCTGACCTTTGACCTCTCACCTGTCTGTTAATTAACTGTTAGTTTATTGAAGGGAGATGGACATACCTGTATCTGTCCCAGAGAAGTCTGCTGTCATGGTAACCAGATCTGTGTGAGGGTGAATGCCTGAAACTGAATAAAGCAGAGGAGAATCAGACAGGAAAATGTAAACCCAGATATACAGACAAATGTACAGACAGGTGTACAGAAGCAGACAGATGCAAAGGCTGACCTACAGAAAGACAGGCAGATGTACAGATAGATTTACAGTCAGGCAGACAGAAAGACAGATGTAGAGACAGACGGCCATACACAAAGATATACACACAAATGCACAAAGAGAACCAGGGACAACTGTAAAGACAAATGTAAAGATATGTGTACCTGGGTTATGTGTCTGTGTGACATCGACAGACGCAGTTTGGATCATAATGGATGGAGACTCTGTAACACATGATCATGTGACAGAAAGTGGATAACCCCCCTCCCCCACACCGGATTATGAACCAATGAGCTTCATAGTCATAGTAAGTAGTAGTACCTGTGACATCATGCCCGAATCCAAGACCTGAAGCTAGAAATAATAGAACACAGAGCTTCATCCATTACTAACACTGTTTATCAGTAAACAGCTTTTTTTGATCTGTTCACCTCACCTGTGAGATTGACGTTAATCCTGGTTACTGACTCTGCACCACCTGATGACATCATCAGCACATTTTTATTTATCACATTATTTCACTGATCATTTAAAATACAATCCTGATTCCAGATTAACGACTGGATAAGGTGACTCGGGTGTGGTTTCCAGTTATTCTGCACTTTGGCTGTTGTCCTGTACTTCCTGTACGCCTTGTCTTTGACTGAAAATTGTATAACTTAAAATGTGAGGCTATTTTTGTAAGAAGTGTTCAAACCATTTAAAGAGCTTCATGTTGAGCAGTACCACTCCCTGACCTGGTGTCGTAAACATTACATACTCCGGACTTTTAGCTTCTTTTAGCTCATAATGTTAACAGTTTACTAGTCTAACGATGGAACAATGGAGACACTGAATTCCAACATGTAATCTGCTATAAATAATTAGCTTGATTAGACTGTACCTGTGAGATCAGTATAAAGATCGCTGAAGGAAACCAGTTTTTCTGTCTCTGCTGCAGAAACACAAACAGCAAAGTTAAACTGCAGAAACAAATGTTGGCGATGAAGGTGGTGTGAGGAGTATCTAAGGGGGCGATCTGAGCCAGGAATCCTTCTGAACCCACTATCTGACTTTTCAACAAATGTCTTATGTTCACCTGTGTTCAAATGAAGAATCACTAAATTGATACAGAGGGCTTTTGCTTTTTGAAGATGAGGTAGTAACTGTTGTTTTTTTCAGAACATGACCATTATCTTACACCAGGGCCAAGCTGAGAATCAGCACCTCCTTCTCTGAAGCCATGGTCCTCTGCGAGAAGATGGTGGATTACTCCCTCCGTGTTGCTGCTCCAAGTGAGGAAGTTAAGTATTTCAGGATCTTAATCTTGAGTGATGATTGAGATGGACCAGTGGATGAGTGCAATTGCAGTTCTCTTCCACGTATCCTTATCACGGTAACGGGGGGGGCATTCACACTTTAGCATCACCTATTAACTTAATCCCACTAATTGCATATTTTTGAACTGTGGGAAGAAGCGTGGGGAAAACATACAACCAGCCAAATGGTGGAGTCGAATGCAGGCAACAGTGCTAACCACCATACTACTGTGCTGCCCAGTAAGTAACATTCACAGATCATTTTCTGTGGAACAAGAGTCACGAGATCTTTGTGATTGATCAGATACAGCCAACACTACCACTTTTATGTAAACATGCAGGGGAAACCCTGGGCTAATGTGACAGATAGTAAGTTTCATGTGAACGTTTATCCAGATCATAAATCTTATGGTAAGTGAATCCAGATAAGGGAAAGATACGTTGCTTCATAGCAACTGATCACAGTCAAGTAAGGCGGGTCTTTAATGTATTCTTTTGTTTTTCTTTTTTCCCCCCTTCACATATGACCTGTTGGAGTTTTTTCTTTTAAATTTTGCCTTTTGCAAACGCAGAGTGTATGAATAATGCCTGTTTCCGATTAAAGATGGGATTTTCTTCTTCCTTTTTTGGGGTCCTCTGTTCCATGATTCATTTATTTATGAAGAAAATCAAAGAGGTAATATATCTCATCTGGCCTGTGAGAGACTCTTAATTCTCAGGGAGGAACTGGAAGATACTGTTGAGGAGAATAATGTGTGGAGCTTAGCCTGCTGCTACCGTGAATGGACAAATCATCGAGGTGGGTGACAGATGGATAGTCTGGTCTACTCAGGTGTGTTCTGTTGCAGATCTGAATGTTTTTATCGAAGTGAACTAAAATGGTGAACGTTTACCTCCATTTGTGTCTGTCAACAGGGTCTGTCGACCGTTTCCTAAACAACACAAAGCAAATTCAGAAAATCAAACAATAATTACATAGTTGAAGGTATTTTTATATGCAGTAAATTTAAGAGCATGAAGCTCTGAGGAATTACCATCAGTACCAGCTGAATCAGCTGCATCTGTGAGGACAAATACAGCACCAATATGAAATATGGTCAACAGATAATGAAGGATCGGGACCCATGATATTTTCCTTAGTTCAGGTGCCAAATAATGTGTCTTTTTTTAAATTTAAGTTTAGAAAAAAAAGAAACAACATTGAAAAGTCTACAGTGGAGCTGATGTAAAGTTTAAAACCTTTGGGATTACATTTATGCTAGTGTGAGATCACCTTTCTGGTCTCTGAGAGCTTCAATGTGTGTTGAGGATGAAGACACTGCCCCTGAAAAGGAAAAAGATGCTGTTTTACTTTACTAAATAAGAGATGAAGGTAAACTTCAGAGTAAAAGTTAATCTGGTTTTCAGAGTAAAAGTCTTTCCTCTCACAACCTGCAGAGTGGGAGGAGCCAGAGACAGAGCTGGGTAATGATTGGTCAGGTCCTGAACTCAGGAAAGTTTGATCTGGTCCTGGCTGATCAACGATGGTATCAGAATGATGAACAAGATCTTCAATACCAGGAAACAGGAGGTAGGAAAGATTAACAAGCAAGGAAAGGAAGCAGCAGAGATACAAACACAGATGCTGTGTTTGAACTGCCACTAGCAGCTACATAATGCTTTTGGCTGAATAAAAAATAATTGGACAGTTCAAAAATATCATGTGATATATTTGGATGACGTTAGTGGGGGAGGAGTCTGTACTCACCTGCAAGTGAGTTCAGACTGTTCTGATCTGCATGTGGAGTTGCTGTCACACCTGAACCAAAAGAAAAACATCAACCAGCGTGATTTGTCCAATTTCAGACATTATTAAATGAAGAGGAAGTCATACCTGAAGGCTCCAGGTGAGAGGGTGCTGTCATGTTACCTGTGATAATTCAGAAACAAAAAGCAAAACAATAATTAACACCAATATCAAACAATCAAAAAAGAACAAACAAACAACAACAAACCCTAAATCACATCAGAGCCCTTTCCCCCAGCTTTAGTAGTCATGGTTAAGTTCACTAATCAAAGAATCACTTTAAGTGTTTCAGAAAGAAATCAAACCTGGGATGTTAACGTGACCATCTGGACCGAAAGCATCACCACCTAAAAACACAGAAACATTCCACTACAATAAAATACAGAATTATGTTTGTGTTTCTTCTTGGCTCAGACATCTGACAGGTATACTGCAAAGCGACATTAATGGTTTTTATCTGTGTCTTGTCTTTATATCTCATGAAAGAGGCTCTCTTTTTATATGAAAATATCACCTGATCAGCAAAATGTTATATTCAGAGTTTTGGTTTGAATCAACCACTGTCACTGTTTATTTTTATTTATTTTTATTATTTCCAGCATGTTTTGAGTGTAATAGAGATTCTCTGCCGTGGGAATATGTTTTATATGTGTGGTAAATCATACGATACTCACCAAATGAAGCACAAGCTGTGCACCACATTGTCACAAGAATGTGTTCATGTGATTATTTAGAAAATGTGTGAATATTGTTCTACTTGATTATGATTTCCTGCCAAGTCTCAGCGACGGCAAAAACACCTGTTCAACCAATCACATTCATTCACTCTGATCTGATTTCCATGTCTCCTTCATCAGGCTGTGGGACAGGAAGCCTTTTTTTTAATATATATAATTGTTTATTTTATTTTATTTTCACTTGCTACACACGGGACAGACTTGACTGGGGGGAAGAAAAGGGAGAATGAAAGAGAGGTAGGGGAAGAGCGAACAGCGGGGAAGAGGGGTGGTGATAAAGGGCAAAAAACAAAACAAACAAAACAAACAGACAAAAAATACATATATCAAACAAGCAAAAAAAGGAGAGCAATATAAGCTACCTGCATTTAGCTAGCAGCAGGTAGCAGGAAGCCTTAATAGATCCAATTTTAGATCTCACAACTAAGGTGCAGCTGTCACCGAGATGTATTTTGTTTTTTTCTTTATAATTGGTCTTATTCTGATTTTAGTGTTTATTTGTGAGTGTGGTTCTGATTATATTTGCATGATTTTATTCTGATATTTGTATTGCATGTTTTTAGTGTTTTTGTTTTTTTTGCATGCTATTGTTTTAATCCACTGTGGACTCTGGACAGTTAGCAAATAGCAGGCGTCTGTTGAGGTGTGGGTGTGGCCTATCAGCTGGGGAAAGGACTTGTTTAAAGAAAGTTGGCTGAGCAAGGGGAAGGGCCAGATATGACATGGCTATTAGCCAGGTCAGACGATGGTTCTGGCCAGTATGTTTATTTACAGGGCGAAGCAGCGAGCGAGAGACTCGAGTGCGGAGTGCAAGCTGGGTTGTGATGTGGGGTGCCCAGTGGAGGGATGAGGTGGTCCCCACTTCAGAAGAGGAATTCCTCTCTTTAACTTTTACATATAAGGAACATTGGTATTAGGTTGTAGGACAATTGAATTACTGGACTGTGTGGGATTTTACTGTACAAAGAACATTTTATTGTAGTTTTAAGAATTGTTTTTATTTGTTCTTGGGGGATTTTAGGGTACCAAGAACATTTTATTGCATAAGTTTTTTAGAATTTTGTTTGCTTTTATTCCTGCTTTCCACCTCCATGAATAAACGTTTTCTTGTTAGACTTGTAGTCTCTGTGCCCTGGGAATCTGATCCCCTTTTATTTAAAGAACTTCCTGTAACACAATTTGGCTCACCAGTTTTAGTGTCTACAGAAATAAACAGCAGCATTGACCATACTCATAGGTAAAATAATTAGCTGTCATTAAAATATTTTACTGCTCTGTGACATACATCCCCATCTTGCTCTATGTGATATTTTTATATTCTTCCTTGACGTTTTAATCATCATCATCATCATCACCATCATCATCTGATAATGTGTCACTCACAAATGACCATGACCTGTGAAATAACCCATTTTGTCTGAGGGCTCTCAGGGAGTGAAGCAGAGAGCCTGGCCTAACAAAGAAGACTAATAATCTGATAATCATTATCTCTGACTGGGGTTTAAGGTTTTATTGAGCCCGCTACTGCAGAGAAAGCCTGTTTGTGTTGAAACTCGCCACATCCCTCTGTGAGTCAGAGCTGGAGCAAAAGACCAAAAGAGTCAGTGTGTATCTGGAATGACCTCAGATTTTATCATCAAATCAAGCTTCAGATTTAAGAAAATTATTGGTTTGTAAAATGAGAGCAGCTGAGCTTACCCATCATGCCAAGCAGGAAGTCATGGCTAGATGGCTCTATGGATCCTTAAGGAGAAAAAGTCAATGACAGCTGCTGAGAGATTCCTCCTTAAAGCCATAGAAGTTTTCTTTGCCTTTGTAGCACTTAAAAATCTGACTTGGATCTGATGAAGTAAAAGTGATGTCACAGACACCTCACCTGGACACTCACCTGTAAGACCCAGGTGAGAAACGTCACCCTGAAAGAATCCCACAGCATCTGGAAAAGAGAGTTGAACTTAATGTCTCTGAGCTTCTTAAAAAATAGGTTTCACCTGTCTCCCTTGTAGCCCCTCTCCATACCGCGTTACCTGTCTGACTGCCAACTCCACCCCCTCCTCCTCCATTCAGGAGCTTCTGTCCATTACCTCGAAAAAACAAAACAAAACAAGAATTGATAATTATTTGAAGAGATTGTAAGATCTTTCGTCTGGACTTCTTTAAGTTGCTTGAAGACGTTTCACCTCTCATCCGAGAAGCTTATTCTGTTCTAGAGTCAAATTGTGGAGAGTCCCAGGTTTAAGCCCTGTGGGTGTTTCCCCATGAGAGGGACAATGGCTTCTAAAGGACAAAGGTCACTCTTTCGAAGATGCCAATGCCATCTATGTCCACTGTGAACGACCATCCTTGAACAGAGGCGGTGGGTTACGACACCAACTGTCTACCATCTATAATCCAGATCGCTTCCCAGACGCCTTAACGCCCACTCACGTCCTTGGCCATTTGACCTCAGGAAATCACATAATAGGATGGAGCTTGGTTTCACAATGAGCTCACCAAAAACCTTGGCGATTGTGACCTACACCCGTTTTCACACCTTGGTTCGTGTGATTAGGTAGAGGATCAATAGGGGGTCTGTTGTCCTTCTTGGGGGGACACTCCCACAGGGCTTAAATCTGGGGCTCTCCACCATTTGACCCAAGAACTGAAGAAGCTTCTCGGATGAGAGGTGAAACCTCTTCAAGGAAACTTAAAGAAGTCCAGATGTTTTTTTTTCCAAGCTCCTTAGACTACAACGAACTGAGAATCTTCACAGACATATTGAAAGGTCTTCAACTCATTGATGTTTAATCAATGATCTATTGATTGGTCTCTGTTTGAGGGATTTGAAAGCTACTTACTGTTGGTCTCTGAGCCAGCTCCTGCAGAACCTGCAGACAAAGACCAGGTTTAAAGATGTGAAGCTTTCTATGCTAAAGGGCTCGTACAGTCAGCTGTTGTGCTGAGCTTAATGAATCAATAATTCTCAAAATGTCAGCAGAGTAATAATTGGACTTACCATTTGTTTCTGTGTGAGATAAAGCAGAGGAATGCTTGTCTCCTTAAAACACAGAAATCATCGATTAACACACCTTCTCATTTAATGGACTTTCTTTATTTTTACTATTTTTGCCTTGTAGATACACACTGAAGACATCAAATATGTGAAGCAAGACATATGGAATTATTAAGCAAAGAAAAAAATGATGAATAACTCTAAATATGTCTTATAGTTTAGATTCCTTTGCTTTGTTGACAGTGCTGCAAACCCTTGGCCTTCTCTCAGTGAGCTTCATGAGTAGTCACCTGATATGGGTTTCACTTCACAGGTGTGCCCCGTCAGGGTTTATTTGTGGCATTTATTGCCTTCTTAATGGGGTTGGGACATTCAGTCATGTTATGCAGCACCTCAGATTAGAGCCCAGGTAAATGCCACAGTTCCAGAAGCAGACACATCTCTACATCAACTGTTCAGAGGAGACTGTACAAATGAGGTCTTTATGTTCAAAAAGCTGCTAAGAAACCACTACTAAGGAAAAGCAACAAGCAGAAAAGATTTGTTTCAGGTCATGAAACACAAGGAATGGACATCAGATGCGTAGAAATCTGCTTTCCTTTGATGAGTCCAAATTTTAGATCTTTAGTTCCACCTGCTGTGAAAGGATGCTCTCTACTACTACTACATGGTTACCACCATGAAGGAAGAGGTGTGATGGTGTGGTGGTGAACCGACCAAAATGACTCCAAGACCGCAGCAACGACTCATTCAAGAGGTCATAAGACCCCAGAACAACTTTCAAAGAACTTCAGGCTTCACGTGCCACAGTTAAGGTTCATGACTCTACAAGACGGGGAAAAAAGAGAGTTCCGAGATGATAACCTCTGCTCACAAATACTGTGGATTAATGAGACAAAAGTTGAACCTTTTGGAAAGGTGTATGTCCAGTACATCTGGCATAAAAGTAACAGAATTTCAGAGAAAGAACATCACGCCAACAGTAAAATATGATGCCGGTATGGTGATGGTCTGGGACTGCTTACTGCCTCAGGACCTGGAAGACTTGCTGTGGTAAATGGAACAATGAATTCAGCTGTCTACCAAAACGACCTGAAGGAGGATGTCTGGCCATCTGCTTGTGATCTCAAGCCGAAGTGCAGTTGGGTTCTGCAGCAGGATAATGATCCAAAACACACCAGCAAATCCACCTCTGAATGGCTTAAGAAAAATAAAGCGAAGACTTTAGAGGGGCCTAGTCAAATTTCTGACCTGAATCTGGTTGAGATGAGGGGTGACCTTAAAAAGGTGGTTCAGGCTTGAAAACCCTTCACTGTGGGTGAATTACAACAATTCTGCAAAGATGAGAGGGAAGTCCTCCACAGCATTTATTTCCAGTTATCGCAAACACTAGACTGCAGTTATTACTGCTTAGGTTTTTCCAACCAGTTATTAGGTTTAGGGGGTAATCACTTTTTCACACAGAGCCACATTGGCTTGGATTTGTTTCCCCCTTAATGATAAACACCTTAATTCTTGTGTTTACGTTTTCGTAATGTCATGATGCCATTTGACGATGATTTCAGTTTTTTGACATGAAGTTTTGTTCCATCCAAATGGATACAGGCCGCATATAGTTATTGACTGCACCCTGTTTGTTCTTCAAAATAAAAGTCCACATATCTGCCATTTTTTAAAAAGCCCAGGCTGTTTACCTGCAGAATGGATCAAAGCTGTGGAGACATCAGAGATCTCAGCTGCTGCAGAACCTGTAACAACAGGAGCAGTTTTAGCTTCTAAATACAAAAAAAGTAAAATGGTCAGATGTTCAAAGCCCTTACAGACCGTGCAATGAACTTATGTCTTGAGCACAGGAAGCATTGTCTAACACTTCCATGTGAGATTGTTTCCAGTAATGGTGGCCAAGTGTGTATCAGAGCAAGACAAAGAGATCCTGGCCATGAATTCTGAGTAGAAAAAAAACAACTGGTGTTGCAATATTAGTATTGAAAAATCCCAACACA